AGTGATAAAATAAAGGTATAATGGCATAATGGTAAATTCAGCAATAAAGTAAGGGTATAATGGTAAATTTGACAAAAAAAGTAACACCGTCAGTGTTAAAGTAACGGTGTTAATATCAAAGGGCGAGTATGCACGCAGATATTAAATACAAGGGGGTATGACGCAATTTTTGAAATACAGAGGGATAACGCGCAGATTTCATATAATACAGGGGATTTGGTGCAATAAACCCATTTTTTTAATGAAGAAATTGATTTGAGATGACAAATGAGCAATATTTTTTTTGTTGATCATAAATTGTTTGTCAATATTTATATTAATGTTTTTTGTTTCATTATTATATGTAATTCTATCGTGTGTTGTTCAATAGTTGGTAAAAATTATGTAAATAAAAACACATCATATATTGAAAATATATTGACTATTTGTTGTTCAAGAGCTGCATGCGAAAAAGCATTTGTGTCGGTAAAAGTTATGTAAATAAAAACTCAACATATACGTGATGTATATAACCTTAGCGTATGTCTTTATATTTTTTGGAACTTTTTCAGAATAAAATTCAAACATCACAATTGGTTAGAGAAATATACTGAAAATATATTGATTATAAACACAATGTATGCTGAAAATATTCAGTGGCTTGTGAATTTCAACAGACGATCAACTGGCGTTTGAACTTCATTTTTAAATTCTTTTTGCCTACCAAATTTTATCGTGAGTTTGTTATAACCTATTTAAAGGGAAAGACAGTACTATTTTTGGTAGCCGAAAATCATGACAAATGTGATCTCATCAGTTATGCAAATTAAGGGGATATGGCTTTTTTTTTTTCAATATTAATTATTTTGCAAGAGTTAGGTAGTAATGCAATATCTTTTATATAAGTAGTACAAATGCAATTAAAGACAACGAGTAGGAGAGATAAAAAATTTCCATTAAGGAATGGACATCAAAGAAATAAGAAAAAATGAATTTGCTAAGAGCACTCACAATGCTTTGGGTCTCTTTTTGCATATGTGGCAAATAAATAGACTTAAGTCCATAATGACATGGACATAAAATTTAAACGTCAAATCAGTAATAATTAATAAAAATAAATATATACAGATATATGTTAAAAAAATTACAAAATACTGTAAAACTTATTAATACAAAGAAATAAATTTTAGACGCAAATTAAGCTGCCAATTTATTAAATATTCTAATTTAATTTAATTTTTTGCCAAATGAAGAATATTTCATTAGAAGATATGCAATAATTTTTGATGGACAATAAGAATTTCCAAAAAAAAATAATCGATTTGCTATGGAAGAATTTATGTTGGACATTTATTTATACCAATAAATGTTCTTTGTATATCTTATTATATTATATATTAATTAGTTATATATGTTTTTTGATACGATGTAGATGCACATTTTTCAATGGAAGAGATAGCTGAAGATTTTTGTATTTTGTTTATGATTTAATATTACTGTATAATTCCTTTACACCTTTTCATAACATAAAAGTAAGATTAAAATAAAAATGTTAAATTATAACGATCGGATTAAATTTGTTAATATAATTTTAAACCAATAATTTAAAATAAAACAAAATGTAGGTGAACTGGGGTGACAAAACACAAGTAGCAAAAATTATGTAAAAACATTAGAAACATATATATATATATATATATATATATATATACATATATATATTAATGGTGGAACATTCAAACCGAAATTGGAGGGAAACCCAAATATTTTTATCAAATATTTTACCCCTATTTATATAAATAGATTATAATATGAATTTGTAAACCTATGAATTACTAATAAATTCTCATTAGCTTTCAAGTCTAGCATATCATTGAGTCACCCAAAAGTGTCCATTCCAAATTTTACTGCAATTTTGGAACTTCTTCTGGTTAAGGAGTTCCACTGTCCACGTTCAATGGTTTATCGGCCAAAAACTCCGACCTCAACTGCATCAGCAGCCTCCCAAGATAGTTTAGGCCTTCCCCATCTCGGCCTCCACCCCAGAATAGGTCGTGCGGTGAAGCTTCAACAAGAACAGACCCAGTGGTCGACAGCAGCATTGAGGTTAAATCTGGGTACGTCAAAAACTTACACTTTAAGGCCCTGTACATGATTTCAATCTTGACAGAGTCCCAGTCAGGTCTCACCTGCACAGGACAAAACAAAAATCCAATCCATTGGTTATGTATGATAACCAAATAAATGTCCTATAATTACATGAATTAACCTTGAGGGTTGACCAGAGTAAACGAAATCCCAATCCGTCATCCATAAGAACAATATTAGCACATGATGCTATTAGCAGTTAGAACCAAACATATTTCCTCTTTTGTAATTAACACATAGTTGTTGAGCACGAGACTTCTCTTCACAGCAATGAACAATAGTGACAACTACCAATAGAGCATAAGCATGATTGTGTCCCCCAAAAATAGATGTGTTCAAGTTGATAAAGCACATTTTTATGTTATCCAACAGGTATGCAAGGATGATATTTCATCTTGGAGTACTATATGCCAGTTTGTAGAAAGAGGGGTGCATATGTAAATATATCAAAGAAATCAATTAACGTACTCAGTCAATTATTATATACTTCAACCACCCTTTAAAAATCCTACTTAAATAGACCGACAAAGCCATTGACTATGCCAGCTAAAGCATACAAGGCACACTTGGCCCTCTCAAATTTTGATAGAACATTATTTTCACCATATAATTGAGGTGAAAACTGATACCAAATATGGGTGCTGCCTCTGTGTCCTCCTTCCAAGTCGTGCTGCTTCCTCTGGGCTTTTTGCATTTTTTATCTCTTCCAAACATTTTTTGGCAATAGTATTATCTGACCCGACAAACTTGTGAGCCTAACGATTTTGAGGAAGCACCAAAAACAAAAAAATCAGTGCAAGAGAAGTATGCGGCAGAAGCTACAGTTGCTGACCAAGAAAGCAACCTGGTAATAGTGCTCCACACTGGGCCAGCTATAATAATCTCCATTTTCATCAGGCATTTGAATCGGATGCAAAGAGAAGTTTGAAAAGACGCCATAAGGGTCCCATGTTTTATAAAAGAATATGATGCTTGCTTCATAAGGAGAAACATTAGGGTCGATCGCAAAAGTTTCATCATAAGATGGAATTACGGGGGACAAGTCTGGAACCGGATGAAGGAATCCACTTACAAGCATGTCCGGACCAACCTGCAATTGAGAACATGAATGCTACTACAGCTGGAAGTTATGTTTGTCCCATATTGCTAAGTTGCTGAGTTGTTATTGTATATGCATGTGGATTGGCGAGGATGAGTTCTACTCATATCCATATATCAGCTATCAACAGTCATTAAGTTTTTTGTAGGTGACATCCTTAAGGGAATGAAAAAATGCATTCCTAAAGATGACAGGGGTTTATTGAGATGAATTCCTCCAATAGTCCTATAGCATGATTGCATTATTGAAACTGGATTTCAAAATACGCCATAAATTGTATAGATTCATCATGCTGCAAGTGGTGCTCTAATAATTGGTGCCTAGGCGCTAAGCAGCACCAAGCACCTCGATATTGTGTAGGCAGACTTTCTAGGCACTCGGGCAATTAAGCCCCTTCTAGGCAGTCTAGGCAGTAGGCAGCACTTAAGCGTTCCTAGTGGCTGCAAAATTAGCCACCGTCAGTTAGGCAGCCCAGGCGGTCACATTTATTTCCTTTTTACATTTTTTCTATTTATTTTCAAAATATAATAAAAATAGGTTCCAATTTCTAGACATTGGATATACAGTAATTATAAAATTTAAAAAATAAATATACGATATTATTGATTAACATATTTTATATTATGCACCTTGCGAATTATGTAAAATAGATAAATATAAATAAATGTATTGATATTTTTACAACCCGGCCAACGCCTCATCTAATTCCCATTTTGGGTCTAGGCTCCATCCCACAAACTAGCGAGCAAAAGGATACCTAGCTCAACTATGCACTTTATAGTTGAAAAAAGAACAGAAAGAATGAAAAAAACAAAAAAAGCACGCCGCCATTTGGAACATAAGAATTTTAATGACAATAAAACAATAAAATAGTAGTTGTGAACTGATCGCGAATGTAATTCTAGATAATTGGATAAAAGCATTTTTACAATTAAAGGCATGATTGGTATAATGGAATGACTTGAGAATGGAATATTCGATCATTCTCTTATGGCAAGACATGATTGGTATGCTGGAATGACATGAAAATGGAATTAATTACTCTCTTACTCATTCTTAATCCGTATATGTTTTTAAAATGAATGTCCATACCAATGGGAAACCCATCTCTATGAAATTAGTCATTCCAACTAATGCATGGTTTTCTCATTCTCATATACTTAGTAGTATTCTAGAAGTCGCTTGGCGCCCGCTAGGCGCTCGACCGACGCCTAGAGCGCAGGCCTAAAACTTAAAATTAAATATATTATTTTTTTTTATTCACTACCTACAAAATAAAACTATCACAACTTATAATAAATCAACACCTAAAAGTAAAAATAATTGTATTAATATAGAAACATGATAACAAAATAATATAATTATTATTTAAAAAAATTTAAAAACTGCCGTCGAACCCGCTTAGGCGCCGCCTAGCCGCCTGACCGCCATTGTATTAATATATTATAAAGGAAACATGATAACAAAATAATATAATTATTATTTAAAAAAAATTTAAAAACTGCCGTCGAACCCGCTTAGGCGCCGCCTAGCCGCCTGACCGCCGATCCCCCCTAAGAGCGCCTAGGCCTGCCTGGCCAATTTTTTCAATCGATTCTTGCAAATTGGCCGGGTGGCGCTAAGGCGGCCATCTAGGCCAATTTGTATAATAGGTTTTCAAAAATAAAATTAACAAATAAAAATAAAAATAAAAATAAATATATAATATATACTAGTACAATGCCGTGAATTACACGGGTACTTGCTAATTTTTACTTAAAATCTAAAATTAATGAAAAAAATTAGTTAAAATTTTAAATATATTTTATAAAAATATATATATTATTATATATTTAGTATGACAATTTTTATTTGTGTGACCTACATGTGTTATATTACAATAATTTTTTTAGTACAACATATAACTACATTAAACATAAATATATCAATTAAGAAATACTTTTATTTTTCTAATGAATTTTAATAAATATTATTATTTTTTATTATTATAAAGATAAATGTAGTTTATTTATTTTATATATACAATATGGATGTCAAATCGAAGATCATTAAAAGATGATTAATTTGATATATTATATATGTAAAACCGATAAGAAATATAAAAGTTATCAACTTTTAAATACATTTACAATTCAATAGCTAATTGAAGGAAACAAATCAAAAGTCAGGGATATATTAGTCACTTAGTGTCTCGCTATGTAAAATTACAAAGAATTAAAGGGTTATATTAGTACAAGTGATATTAAAAATACCTAAGTTAGCTAAATAATATTTATAGAATGTCCGAACCTAGATTATTAATTATTAATATATCAATATTAATTGTCCAAACCTAATTACGAAACATGATTCTTCGCCAAGTAGGATTCCGAAGAACCAGAACTAGCCACGTAGGCTCAGCGCATTCGGGAATTATATATAGGAGGGATTATAGGTCATGATTAAATTAAAATCATTTTAAAAATTAAATTTCAAATAAATAACTAAAAAATATTTTGATTTTTATTTATTATTTATATTTTAATTAGATATATTAACTATTTATATTAAATTAAAACTCATAAAAAATGCATTTATACATAGTTTAGAAAAATCTTATTTTATTTTATATAATCGTATAAATTATATATTTATTCGTAAATTTAACTATACTATTAAAAAATTATACCCGACCACCTATATTTAGAGGGGTTTATTGTAATGATATAAAAAAATCTTATTTTATTTTATATAATCATATAAATGATATATTTATTCGTAAATTTAACTATACTATAAAAAAATTATACCCGACCACCTATATTTAGAGGGGTTTATTGTAATTATATATTTGTATTAGTTAATATGTATATGAATACATAATTCACTTATTTATGATATAAGATGAGTGTAACAATACAAAAACATATTTATCAAACACTATATTTTTCTTTTAAATAAAATAATTTTAATATTCTCATAAATAAGAAAATAACAGTAGTATAAGTATTAAATTTTTTTATATATATATATATAAAATAGTGATAAATGATAATGTATAATGATAATATCAATCCATTCAAGTCTTATTCTTTGTGCATACCAAACAAATCAATTGGGGAAAAAACTCATTTCATTCTTTTCTCATAATTATATCACTCTTCTACTCATTCATTCATATCAAATTCAATTCAATTATTCCAATCATGTCATTATTTCAATTCCAATGATTGGTATGATTTTCAAGAAAGAATGACCATTCAAAAAACTTATCTCCATGAGAATAGCAATTCTATAGGTAATACATGGTTTACCATTCCCATATCATTAAGATTTGGTTTTTCGAGAAAATGTAACTTACAAATAGCAATCAGAAATAAATATATAATATACAATATAATATATCATGATTAAATTATATTCGAAAATTTGTTTCAGAAAAATAATATTCAAATCAACAATTAAAAATGTTTTTAGTTTTATTTAATATTTTCATACATATATTAAATATTTATATAAAAATAATATTTATAACAAACGCATTTATGAATAATTTACTATAATCTTATTTTATGTTTATATATTCATATATACTATATAGTTTGCATAAACTGAATTATAAATAATTCTATACAATGTATATGCTTATAAGGGTTTATGTACATATATTTATACAGATAAATATATAAATAAATAGTTCGCTTATTATATAAGATGAGTATTACAAAATATTGATTGAGCATATAGTATATAAGAGTTCTTTTAATACAAGGCTTGAAAGATAGGTAAACTATCAAATCGAGGCCTAAAAGATTTATTTTCTTAATTCAGGACCTAAATGTTATTAAACTATCAAATTAAGTCCTAAAATTAACAAAACTCATAACACCATTAAATTGAGAGTTATTTTGAAGTTTTAAAATACCAAATATAAAAATAAAAAAAAAATAAAAATGAAGAAAATTAAGGAAAATACGAGATTGTTGGAGAAAATTAAGAAAAGTATGAAGCTCTTGCTCAGTTTTCTTGTTGTCGTCTATTTCTGCTTTTTTTTTTAAATATTATGCAAATGCTTACTTATTATTTTATGTGAGCAAGCACCAATCTTGTCTTTTTTTTGGTTAATTGCTAAATAAACCTTAATCTTTTTGCGTTTGGCAATTTATCTCAATCTTTGGATAATTGCAATATAATCTCGACCTCAATTTACTTAGAGTGATTGATTTTAGGGTTTGTTGATCAATTTTGTGTCCAAGTCTTCCATTGACACGGGTTTTTATGCCATCCATGTAGCAAGTTGACAATTTCAATGTATTTAATGTATATCCACGTACAAAACGAAAATTTCACGTCAATGTAAGCTACCGGTGATGAGTCTCATCCTAGATATGGAGTGAACCGGTAAATATGAGCTCCGATTTGTTCGAACCGCCTTCAAATCGACCAGCTTTGAAGGTCCAACCGATTTTAAGTTCGACTTGCAATAAGTAAACTGAGGTCGAGATTATATTGCAATTACCCAAAGTTTGGGATAAAATTGTCAAACGCAAAAAGGTTAAAGTTTATTTAGCAATTAACCCTTTTTTTAAACTCTCAATTTAATGGTGTTATGAGTTTTATTAATTCTAAGATTTAATTTGATAGTTTTATAATATTGAAATCCCGAATTGAGAAAAAAAATCTTTCAGACCCCTATTTGATAGTTTACCCATCTTTCCGGTCTTGTATTGAAAAAAGTCATTTTTTATAATATGGGATAATAAGGTTTCATTTCATAGTATACCAAACACGTTAATAAATAAAACTTGTTTTATTCATTTCTCATAATTATTTCATTCTTTTAACTCATTCTACTCTTATCAAATTCCATCCTATCATACTTATCGTGCCATGAGTTTTGGTTTAATAGCGCTAAACAACAAAACATAATACATGAAGTTAGCAGAGTATCAAAAATAACTAACCTTTTCATAATGTACATCAATTAATTCCAATGCTTGAGACATCTCCACCATCCCAAGTTCTCCAACAGGGGAAGGTGCATTCTTTCCACCGATAATTTTGGGGGCAATAAATGCATGTACCTGCATTAACATATAATATCTTTGAGCTTAATAATTACGAGGACAATAGATCAACTACACAATTCCAAATAAATTTAAGCCACTTGCGTGCATGTTACAATGAACCGACCAGCTAGATGAACTGAGAAAACACAAGGCTCAAGTTTCTGGGGTGGGGGGGTGTCAGTAAATGAGCAATTTCTTGCGAACAAAAGAAATAGAAATCATAATATCTTACAGGCTAATCAATAGGCCTTGAAGAGCAAAGTATCTATTGTGTTAGCCTAACCCAACAATAATAGAATCACATTTTGTCAGGTTACCTTGTGTATAACACCTGAAGAAATAGCAGATGCAGCTAATGTACCTCCGCATTCCCATAAAATTGAAAGACAGCCACGATCATACAAGTACTCTGTTACGACTTTGGGATTTAAAATTTCAAACTCAACTACCTCAACACCTTTAGATGCAAGGAATTTCTGGAAACTCCTTTTTGCTCCTCTTTGTGTTGCGACCATGGTGTTAACCTCAGTAACATCCCACAAGTGTGCAACCTCAGGAAGATCGAGAGATGTTGACATTACAATTCGTTGGGGCAAATGCCCACCTCCATGTCTTGCAGTTAGGCGTGGATCTACATATAGAAGCCGAATCGAAACAGGATTTAAATATTTCAGCAACAAATCATAACATTAACGACCATTAAAGATTCAAACCATCTCGGCGCACAGTATTTCCACCGACTATAACAGCATCACATCTGCCCCGCATTTCAAAAACTCGGGTTCTCGAGATTTTGCTACTTATCCATGATGCATGTCCACTACTTGCCGCAATTTTCCCTGCAAGCCATCACTTAAGTTCATTTGACGCCTTTGGACGAAAGAAACCATTGTTTTATAGGACATCAATCACCAGAACAAGAAACACCCTTTACTGACCATCAAGGGTCATAGCATACTTGAGGACAGAGAATGGAACTCGACAAGCTGCTCTATACAGTAAAGGAGCATTCACAAGAAGACAGGACTTTAGACCTTCCTATGAGAAAACGTAAAACAGTCCAATCAATACGCAGCATAGTATGAGAAACCCAACCAGCTCAAGAAATGGAACTTGGAAACAGCCTGACTGTTTTTTAAATTCTGTAATATGAATCAAAATACAAGTATGCACCATACCGCTTTTGCATTAAAGTAGTTAATCGCTTAAAAAAGCTAAATATGTACTTTAGTCCTACAAAAGGTAGTTCATCTAGAGCAACGTAATAGTTGTGGTAGCCATGTGTCCAATCATATGCCAAATTAAACTGAATGGATTTATACATACTAGAAAAAGGATTTAATAAGATTTATTGTTCATGCGACTCTAAGAAATATATAAGTTTCTATATCATACGTGATTATACTGATACACCATCAAAATTTGAATACCTCAATTATCTTACCACAACATTTAAAGCACAATGCCGTTGCTTGGTCGCTCATGTGGTCATGGGTATTCAAATGTACTTATCGCTTGTTTAAATATAGCTACATTTAGAACCACAGAGAGACATGTTGAAAATATAGAAAATCAGCTGACCACAAGAAGCAAAATAAAGCAAAAAGATATTTCATCTGCATTAACTGTTCAAACACATAACCATCTTATGCTAAAATTATGAGGGATGTTCGTGTTTTTTAAGAAGAGACAACACATTCATAAAAGAAACAAGAAAAAAGAAAACATGTTCAGAATTCATTACCTCTATAATTTTACATTGGATATCTTCACCAAGAACATCAACCAGCACTCCTTCACCTCGAAAGGCATGGATTGCTTTGCCCCGAAGATGTTGCAAAGGATGCCTTATCCCAATGACAACTCTAGAGATCCCTGCCTAAATTGCATTAAAGCTCAAGAAATTTTACATTAAGGACAAGCACAAAACTTTCGTACTCTGAAGTGCAAAGTATCATGTGTTCATATCGTATAAAAATGCTGGAAGAAGTTGCATTTTAATATGGGTCAGAAGGGGATAATCTCTGAGAAAGACGAGTCTCATTCCTTGATTAGCATCCAAACACATTTTGGTTTCTCTTCAACTATTGGTAAAACGACCCACATAAAATTTCACATGATGCCCAAACATCCCATTCTATCTTTTAACAACAAAGGAATTTCTACTTATAAAGGTAAATAGTCAATCAAATACAACCACTATTGCAATTGAACTCTTCGAACCCCGCGAATACAGATCACAATCTTTTATAAAAAAAATTTACGGATTTTGCGAATATAGCTCACATTCTTTTATCATAAAAATTACAAATACTTTTATCACAAAATTTATCACAAATATGGTGAAAGTTTCCTTGGACTCTACATAATGTGAAAATGTACGGATTTTAAGGTGGCACCTTAAAAAAATTCTTTCACGCGGTGGAAAATACGAAAGCTCATTACAGTACAATTGACTGTAGGTACAAACTGCGCAAAGGCGTCAGCCATCAGGTGATACGCATACGCCCATCCATTCAGTTTTTCTCTGTCCAGCTTGGAAAGATGCTTGGAAAAGACAATCTTCTATGAAGTGTTCAAATAATCACGCACCACCAGATAGACAAAAGACTATTTTTGATAGTCTAGAAAGGTCAATGAGGTTTTACCGGAAGTTTTCAATACTCAACAGGCAAGAAGGGTATGAGAAAGGAATCGTTCATATGGAAGAAAAATCCTCAAAAAAATAGAATCCCACACAAGAAGTTTTTCCAGGGTTTATGTAGATGCTTGTGTCAACCACTCAAAAGCTGGCCTACGGTATTGGTGATATAACGCGTAATATTATGCGGCAACCACTAGTTGCTTTCAGAGAGAAACTTAAACCTCATCATTATACTCTGCTTATTTATGAACATAAAACAATTAAGAAAAGTTGATTTATTTGAGTGAAATGGGACATTCTCAGGTCACTCTTCTTTGGACTCTCTATTGTATCAATACAAGCAATTGCAGACATTAAAGAGTACTGGATGGGACATTGAAGAGTACTGGGGTGGGTCTGTACTAGTTGCAGCCGAAACTGAAATTTAATGAATTCTTGAAAAGAGGTGGACGTGATTTTCAACAGTAGATAAGCTAATATAATGGCCGTGAAACTGCATCTCTCTGTTTAGGCTCCTGACCAGTTTCTCTGGTTTGATAGAGAATTTCCACATTAAACGATTCTTGTCAGAATGAATACCTTCTTGAGGAATAAAACGACAAAGTTTAGCTTCAAAGGGAAAAATAAAATGAAAACACAGTATGATCCAAGAAATTCACTTGATTAATCAACTTAGAATTTCCTTCATTTATATAAGCGGTTCAAACTGATTGCACAGCATCAGAAAGATTCAATAGTACAATACAATTTCTTCTCTCAAAATTTGCATTTGACACAACAACGGAACCACTGTCAAACCAATCTTTGCAAATTTGAACTCAGACTGAAGCAAGCTGAATTGAAGTAAAACATTTACAATACTAAGAGAGAAACTGATCATAAATACAAACATCAAAACAAAACTATGATAGATGGAAAGCAAAATTACCTGGACCAGAGCAGAGACTGCAGCTTGGTCCCCGCGGCAGTGATTGGGCTCCATATTGAGATAAGCAGTGGCGCCACGGCAGTTTTCGCCAGCAGCCTCAACTGCCTGTAGCTCCGCGGGAGTGGTTCCTTGCGCATACAGATATCCCTCGCCCACAACCACCCTTCCTCCGCTACCTGAGGCGGTCGCTATGACACAACCAAAGTTGGGGTGGGGAGCTGTGAACCCCGCAGATTTGTCCGCTAACTCGGCGGCGCGTTCGATGTACGCGGCGTCAAAGGTGAGTGATGATGGCCATGGGAGAGAGGACGAATTCAGAGTCGCGATTCTGCAGGTAAAGGAGGAAGAAGCGAGACCTGAAGTTGCTAATGGGAAAACCATAATGGGCCAAGTCCTATTGCGCTGCTAGTTTTCAACTGTATTAGCCAGAGAAACTCTTATCCAGTCGACACTCCTTGGGATCGTTTGAGGAGGGTGATGACTTGATTAAATGCTCTCCCCTTGTGTACTCATCTGTTCGTTAACAAGGTGATTATTTGAAGAGGTAAAATATATATCGAATTTTGCGTGTTTTCTTGTATTTAGAAAAACTAGTATTCCATCTGATGCAAATAAAATTTTATATGTCATTCGTGCGTGTGTGTAATATTTAAAATCATAAATTAGACAATAAGCATATCACATTTTATAGTTTACCATTAGTAAATTAGTAAATAAACGATATAAATATAGACTATGTAACATACATATTAGCTCCACTTTGAAAGATATCTCTTCTATGGCCCAGTTGATTACACAGAAAGGGCCTTTCGAGCGCTTTCCCCGGGAGGTTGATCTTTATACTGATCGCAATATTAAAATTTTTGCAAATTTGGCTGATTATGACAATTAATTAGATAAAAAAATATTGAAATTACTATTATAGCAACTAGTACGTACCACGTGCGATGCACGAAACACATCTATTAAATGAGTTATTTTCACAGGTTTTACCCGTTTAAGTCTAAAAAGCAATAAGATTATCATTATTTACCACCATTTTTAATCAGTGTTAAGTCTAGGAAACAATAAGATTATAATCTATTTTCCATCACTTTTAATTAGCATTGTTATTTTTATCCAGAACATTAAACAAGCTTGTAAACTAACTAATATATTATTGCAGTAAGTATGTACTAATATAAATTTGATTTTAGTATATATATATTTATTCATTGATATAAGAAAAAATAACAGTTTTACTTATTCTTGTTCAACATATAATACTTAATTATTATTTTATTATAAAATTTATTGTCATATAATGTCATTATTATTATCAAAGTTACAGAAGTTGTAAGTATTCCTTTTTTCAAATTATGTAATAAAAAATATTTAATGCATGTTAGTATTATTTATTTATGTAATCAATTTAAAATATGTAAACAAATTTAAAATTAAAATGGTGCATAAATATTTTACAAAATATACAAACATGTATTTTAGAATTTAATTTTGTATACTAATTGAACAACTTTGATTTAGCAAATGCCAAAAACGCAATCCCTTCGATAATCAAGATTTTTATAATTTGCATTATATGTATTATAATTTATTTAGCATACTTTGCAATGAAATATATTTTACAACAATTTCATTATAAAAATAAACTAAAATAAAAAAATAAAAATAATCATGATCGCCAATAACATACAAATAAATTCTAAAGAACGGTTAATATATTTAAATTTCAATTTTTTTACAATTAGTAAAACTATTTAATGTATCTGGTCATTATCTCTTAAATGGTAAATTATATTAATTTGAAGAATAATTTATTTTTTATATATACGAAATAAAGCTTAAGAAAAAATTATGTTGGCAAAGATTAATTCACCAACTTGATGAAGAACAAAATTTTTCCTAACCTGTTACGATTTTCTATAAATATTGTTGGATAAAAAATTTAATATTTGTTAAAAAAAATCATATTATAGTTAGAACTTAAAATATGTTGTAATATTTATCTTGACCAAAATAATAGCATTATGAATTATAGGAAATCAATCTTATATTTTATTATAATGATTATCAATGGAATTATAAAATTATTTAAAAAAACAATATTTTTGACCATGTCTAATTTGATCTTATTTGTAAACATGTATATGGAAGCAACTAATGCATCTATTTAAAAAGTTTCCAAGAAAATCGCATTAAATGTTTCCCAAATTTTTTACTTACTTTTAGTAAAGGGTTATTCTTATTATATATACTAGCGCGGTGCCCGTGCGATGCACGAACTAATTTTATTAAAGCAAGCATTTATATTTTGATGATTGCATGATTAGAAAAACGTAAAAACCATGTATCAGAATAAAACAAAATTTAACTTATAGATTATTTAGAGAAATGTTATAGGTACATAATATTGTACATAGGGGTGTATATAACACTCACATTGAGTGAACTTACCAAAAATAAAAAATCACGTGGACCTCACTCCATGTGAGTGTTATGTACACCTCTATGTACATTTATTATGTACTTGTAGCATTTTCTTATTAGAGCATTTTTCTATTATTAAACAGAAAACAACGTACCTCTGTGTAAATCGTATCTAAGAAAAATAAACACTTGACACCTATATATATTAGAATTCTAAAGAGCCTTAAATAAATAAATTAAATTATTTAGCAGGATATATATATATATATATATATATATATATATGATTTATATTGGTTTTATGAAAATTGTGTACCCAAATATAACGGAGATTGTAAAACGTCTTCCTTAATAATCTACAGCCTTATTATTTTAAAATTGGAAATTACTTAATTTAAGGAAGAAAAAAATTGTGTACGTGCAATCAATTTCAAATTTGTATTACATAGGATTAAATAAAAGTACAAAACCCAAATTTTTAGATGTCCGAATCCAATTTTATTTTAAATTTCAAAATAATATTATCTAACTTTGTTTTATGTTAAAAAAAAAATCGAACTAAAGAAAGTAGTAGCCACATGATACGAGATTTTTAAATTTTAATTATCAATTTGAAATTGAGTCGATTTCTATGCAATCTGTTTTTTTTTTTAATAAACATGACCTGCTGCAATTAGGTAAAGATACATATTATAATATTTTGCCTAATTCGAAATTCTCGGTTTTATGGTAAACAATTTTTTTTTATAATAAAAAATGAGAGAATTTTGACTTTTACAAAATTGTCATGCCGAATATACTTAAATTAACCCGATTTCTATGCAATCCGATTTTTTTAATAAGCAACTTATTTGTTACAATTAGGAAAAGATATTTGCGATAGTATTTTGTCCAATTCGAAATTCTCGATTTTATGGTAATCAACTTTTTTATTAAAAAATAAGAAAGAATTTTGACTTTTGCAAAATTGTAAGCATCAATCGATTTACCTAAATCAAATCCACAAAACCCATAAATTTAGGGTACATATATATCTGCTCAATTTTTTTGGGAATAATTTGAAAAGGAAACTAAAAAATTTCTAAAAATATAATGTAATAAGTGTTGGTTGATTTTTCTTGTTACTGTTTTTAGTAAATATGTTATCTCTTTATATATGTATAGATATATAGATAGATTGTGCACTGAGTTTTATGGGTTTCGTTGTGCCATAATAAATAATTAACTAATTATAAACAAAAAACATGGTTAATGAGCTAAAAAATAAATAATATTTTAAATAAATAGTTGGAAAAAAAGATCTAGTATCATTTAATATGACTTTTTGATTAGTTAGTAGCAGCCATTATGTAATAAAATAAACAATAATATAATTACTTTATTGATGCAAAATATGATTGAAAAGAGCGGAAAAACATAAACATTTATCATAAATGTTATATATATATATATATATATATATATATATATTGCAAAATGAAGAGAGATGAAACATGTGAATAAAAGTATAAAGCAAAATATTTTAGAACGTTACTGCCCAATTGTCATTGAGTTGAAATTATGGTGCCATAATGATCGCTTATTCTTGATTTATTTCGCCAAATTAAGAAATTGACATTAAAAAAGGTGCAACAATTAAGGTCGAAATAAGAAAATTGAATTTGCTAATGATAGTAACATAAGACTTAAATACGAAATCAATAATAATAAGATTAGAAATATATACGAATATATGTCGAAAAATATTACAAAAATACTGTTGTAAAACTGATTAATCACGGATAAATAATTTTTTGCTCAAATTAAGGTGCCAATTGATTGTTTATTATCGTTTTTATTTTGCTAAATGACAAATATTACATTAAAAGAGGTGCAACAATTTTGATGGGCAGTATGAATTTACAAAATAATAATAATAATAATAATAATAATAATAATAATAATAATAATAATAATAATAATAATAATAATAATAATTTGTTATGGAAGGATTTATGCTGGACATTAGTTGATTGAGCAAGATTTATTTTTGTGTATCATATTATTTTATACATTGATAATTTGTATATGTCATTGTTATGACACATATGCACATTTTTTCATGGAAGAGATAATTGAAGATTTGTTTATTTGTTATTTATATGATTTTGTATGTTGTTTATAATAAAATGTTACTCTATAATTCTTACGCATTTTCATCATATAAAAGAAAATTCTGAAATTAATAAAATAGATTTCTTATTAAATTAAATTTGTTAATATATAATTTCAAATAAAAAATTAAATATAAAATAAAATATAGTTAAGTGGTGAGAAAACACAAGTGACCAAAATAGTGTAAGAAGATCAGAAATTACATTAAATATAAAAGTTGAGCAATAGTGTAATAAAGTAGAAATTACATTAAATACAAAAGTTGAGCAATAGTGTAATAAAGTGGAATAAAGTGAAAAGAAAAAAAAATAATGATAACCAAAACATTTTTATTAATGGATTTTTATTTTTATAGATGAGCGGGAACTTTCTTACATTACGTTATTATTTTTTTTTTTTTTCTCGCTATCTTCCAAGTTCCATAATTAATTTTTCATTATAACAATATATAAAATAGCAAATAGTACGAAATACCCTTATATTTATAAAAAATTATAAAATAAACCTTATAACACATAATTAAAAAAATGTGGGGTAAAAAGAATTGATTAAACCCTAATGAGTTCTCCATTCGCGACAGTCAAGCCGCCGGCTGACCCTCGCCTAGATCCTCCAGACTTGCGCCATAGCGAGTCACCCCAACCGTTTGAGGCCTACCCGCAGACCCAGAATCTAGCCGGAATATCAAAGAAACGGCGCTCCACCGGAGAGTTCGATAACCAACAGGCGGACCCGGTTTCGCCCCCTACCGTAACCTCTGCCATCCCGGCTCCACCGAAACTAAGCTTTCGGGATCTTTT